TGAATCTTCAAAAAATTGCACGTGGGTATTTTTATGTCAATATGCAACACCAAAATTTTGAACAGCATTGTAGGACAAAGTTGGGGCAACTGTCACACCCTACCCCTGGTGCACTACAGTACCAAGCTTTGTTCCATGGTGATTGCACCTGGCCGTAATCGTGTAGGTCAGTGATTATTATCAGTCAGTATCAGGTATTGTCACTTATCACCGGTGTTTTTTTCTTTTCCTTACAGTGAGAGGACATCACTAATGTTCTCATTGTACTCTGTTTTGATGGCTGTGAAGTGGGTTTTGCTATGTTTTTTGTGACAGTAAAGTGCTCTGCCACTGTTGTTGTGAACATGATGTGACCAGTATCGGCCACAATAATGTTATCATCGTAGGTGGTCCTAATACATCACCAACGTTCAAGCAAAATATCATAAATAGGGAGATCATAAATTGGGGGATATTGTCCCTGTACAGGCATCCCCGAGTTACGGAAGGGTTCTGTTCCTGACAATCTTTCCGTAGCACGAAATCATTTTTCCTATTGACTTTCATTATATAAGTTGAGATGTGTTCCTATGGAAATATTTTGAGGCCCAAAAAATTTAACACTAGCATATATGTCTGAAATTAGATGGGTTTTACCACATACAATGAGTCATTCATAATGTAACAGGATAATGAATGAACTAAAAACTCAAATTTTACTTACCAGAAAGGATGTTGACTGCTGCAGGAGGCGGTGAGGAAATTACCCTCCTGGGAACAGGTCACCAACCCACATTGGGGCCTGGGGGGAGGGGAGTAGATTGAACCATAAATAAAACAAATTGAAAAACTAAAACAAATCAACAGTGAGAAATGATATACACGGGTCCTCATTATAAGTGGTTTCATACTTAAGTAGTCAAATAATTGTGGAACTACACGTAAAAAGTCCCAGAAGTTCAGAGAGTCTAAGACTGTAATCCGTTGATCATTGGGAGCACAAGCGTTTCAGTGATTGAAATTTCTGCCCGCTTCCCATACTGTTTAAAGTTCATCCTTGTGGCCCGCTCTATGCATGATCAGCACCAGTCGCTGTGTCCATAGGCATTATTTTGATGTGCTGCAAGAACTATAATTATCTACTTTGTTGTGCTTTTGGTGACATTGGTGGATTATTTTTGTAACCATCAGTTCCAACCTGATGCAAGGTGGTGTAGTGGCTAAAGGAAGCATAGTAGTTATGGGATGAACGTGAAATTAGAAGTTACATGTCTTAAGAAAAGTGGTTAGCGTGTCTCAATGAACCACTTTCATTGAAATGAGCGTGCGAGCGCGTGGTTAGGTAGCTTGAGCTGTATCAACACACCGACCCCAAACGACTTTAATTACCTTAAATAAGCTCATAAAATGATGCATAATCATATGTTTAACAAAGGTTTCTAAGGTATATATAAATTTTATGGGTGTCACTTACATGTGATGGTCATGATTAGACCCTATTCCTATTAATTTTTATGAGAATTAATTCCCATTTATAAGTTGTTTCATAAGCAGTGGCTTTTTTCTGATCCCTATTAACCACTCATAATAAGGGCCCCCTTCTGGCAGTCCCCGACTTATTACAGGGATATGTTCCTGGACCCTGATCGTAAGTCAGAACAGTGTTAATTCCATAGGTTAGGTTAAAGCTCAACCCTGCCCATACAAAGCAATAATAATATCACATACATAACAAATACTGTAAATAAAGTGGTGTTAGAATAATGTAAAATATTATATTTTAATTTCAAATTTTTTTTTTTTAATATATTGGGATCCTGTTTGTAAGTCGGACAGTCTTACCTCAGAGACTGCCTGTATATCTTTGTAATATTATACCTATATTATAAAACAAATCTTACCTCTCAGAGTGATGGCAGATACTCAGATGTTTATGGTATCCACAGAAGGGAAATAATTAGAGTTCACACATGTGATTCTTGCAAGTTTGGAAAATTTTATATATTGTTAAATAAACAGATAAACACCTTGTAAATGGTCATATAAAACACTATTTATCACTTAATACAGTGCTGTAGCTCAGAACATCTATCGTCTCCACAGAAGGGCATTAATACACATTTTACACACATGACGGTTACAAATTTGAATACTGTAAGTAAAATATCATAAAATATGGAAAAATGTGAAGTTGTTTGCAGTCATATTTCCTACCTCTGCTGACGGCCATGTAATATTTCAATGTGATTCCGATCTTTTAAAATTTTGGTTTTTGCATAATGTAATATAACTGATAAGTAATTTGTCTTAGTAATGTCTTATTGTGGGTAAAAATAAGTACTGTATATATATTAAATGCATCCTCCAAAAGCATCAATTTACTACCAGAGTTTAACAGTTAATTCATGTACAGGTATAATATTTCTGATAAACTTCCTGCATGCTTATGTTTGAAATAATGAATGTATGTATCTTTATATAATTTAACTAAATATCTTTCTCATCAGAAATGGTCATCCCAAAGATTATGAATAAACTCGTTTAGAAATACAGTGTACTGTACATCATTACTTCAGGATGAAATCGGACAGGTTTCCATCAGCCAATCAGCTCTAACTCTTGAGTAGGGAGTGGGGGATCTTTTCTCAGATGAGAATTAACGTACTATAGCAGTTTGGGTGGTTGGTCTATCCAGTGTTAGTAGAAAGTGAAACTGGAGTACCCGGAGTTGTAAGAATATAATATTTATGGAAGCAAACATTTGTAGCACAAATGTTTGTATAACGAGGGATGCCTGTATCTCACAAGTGTCCGTTTTCACTGGCCAAATTTGTACTTTGGATAATTCATTAAGGGTAGAGCCCTGAAGTTGTTGAATTAAAGAAGTTCAAGTGTATCTAGCAGTTCAGATTATTACTGAAACAAAATTTGAATTATATTAAATATATATTTTTTTAAATTCAACCTTAATTTTACATTAGATACTTACACCCGTATTATTAAACATCATCTTCCCTTGAAGAGGGTCGTCGTGTTTCAACCCGAGTTTTAAACTAAATGAGTCCTGAGGGACATCGCAGTACAGTACTTAACGGGTTGGTGTGGCGGTAAAATTAACTAATACCGATAAAATTAATTTGTAATATTGGTATTAGTTAATTTTACCGCCACACCACTCCGTTAAGTACTGTACTGCGGTGTCCCTCAGGACTCATTTAGTTTAAAACTCGGGTTGAAACACGACGACCCTCTTCAAGGGAAGATGATGTTTAATAATACGGGCGATAATGTCTTCATCACTTAGTCAATGTAGTTTGTTCCTTATGCTTAAGAACAAAAAAACACAAACCATGGACTCCCTGATCCCCAACTTCATCAAATCCCTGCTAAGCCTCCAGCCAAAACATTACTGAAAACTTGAAATGTACCATACATTTTTTAAACCTTTTTATTTATATACAGTATTGTACAGTACAGTAATAGAGCATTGTTAAGGGTAAAAGGTACTCATACAGTATTGTGGACATTGAGTGGAATGACGAATAAACTAGATGCTGGTAGTAAGAGTGAATTAACGACATTGGGTGAGGGCTGAGTCCATTATTACAGTAAAGCCCCGATAAGGCGGATATCGCTTAAGCCTTACAAAATTATTTTCTTAAAAATAATAAAAAAGAAAAAAGTAGGACAAAATTTGTCCTCCAATGACACGTCTGCAAATTTTCTAGGGACCAAGGCATCAGCACGTGGGACACAGGTGTCGGAGAGTTATCAGTTGTTGCATTGGGGAATATTATTTCATTCACAATGTTTTTTCTTATGTTGTCATAGGTAAATGCGTGGTTTATAAAAAATTTTATCACTGCAAATCACTGTTTTCAAATTAGACTACAAGATATGTATTTCTCTCATCCGTATTTCGATCGTACGCCTGTCAACGGGAGCCTGGGAGCGAGTGAGTGACCGACCACGAGTCAGCACGTTGTCTGCAGTTGTATCTCTCCTCCCTCACTGCCATATTTCACTTGATTTACTGTTATTATTAGTATTTACTGATATAATAGTGCTTAATAGTGATTAATCATGGCATGCACACACCATCCTACATACGTACTGTGAAAAAGTAAAAGAAATTATTATCCTAAGGGCAAACACATAAAGGGAAAATACATTTCTTTGCACACAAGTTAGCTGGCTAAGTGAGGGAGGGGAAGACGGTCACAGAGTGTAGAAGGGGGGGGGGGCGTTGCTAGGGAAGTGGCGTGCCAGCTGATGTTCGCTACTATGGTGAAACGGAGTAATATGCAAATGGCGGCTATGTTGAACTTTCATTTGGCTTTTATTTACTGATTTGACGATACAGTATTTTTTGTTGGTTTTATTTTTATTTATTCCCCACATTTCCTGGTACTGTATAAAAGTATTGTATATTATTTTAAGAAAACTATGGCTACAGGAGAAAAATATGCACAAAAGTTTTTTCCTAAATACTCCCTTCCATAAAATACGGTACTGTATTTTGTGTCATTATTTATCGTTTTTATACATTTAATACATTCTCCGTAAGCTGGAGTAGCATTCATATTTTTTTGCATTATAATTGATAAATTAAACAATAACCATGGCCCCTAGGAAAGTGTTTGGTGTCCATAAGGGTAATGAAAAGGTTAAGCCTAAGACCTTATCAGTGAACTAAAAGTAAGTGTACAGTACTTTTTAAAATTAGTTTTGATTAAAAAACATGTATTTCTATCATAAAACTTGGATACATTGGTGTTGTACTCGCTTTTTTGTTTAAAATGGCGGTCTTTTGGGAATAATTTGCTCTAAGGTGGAAAACCTCTTATCCTGGACACCCCTTCCCCCCAATTAGTCCGCCTTAGTGAGGTTTTACTGTACTTCTGGTTTTTGGCCACCTGCACCAACACAGGAGGAGATTTGAAACACTACAAAGAGGATGAAAAATGTGCCTTAAAATGGAGAATGCCTTTAATATACCAGTCTTTTCTTCTATTTTTCAGGTTGAGCATTTTGAACCAGATCCATTGGGCAAACCACTCAAGAAATACCCAGTCTTGTTCTATGGGACATATGAAACGTAAGTACAGTACAATATTGGTGCTGGAAGTACCTGTAGTGGAAGTTAATTACTGCAGTTGACCACTACTGTGTGATTCATATAGTAGAACCTGTAGGTGTAATTGTAATTAGTTTTTCTATTTATTTTACATATATATTATGGACCAGTGTCTAGTGATTGACCTGTGGTGTAATGGTCAGCATGCTCGCCTCGCAAGTGAGTGGATCTGAGTTAGATCCCCGGACAGGGTGAAACTATGGGCAAGTTTCTTTATGCCATTTGCCTCTGTCTGCCCAACAGCAATTTGGGAACCTGGGTGTTAATCGATTTGCAGATTGTGTTCTGGGGTAATGGTTAGCCAGTGCAGTTGGCGAGTTGTCCGGCCTTCTCAGACTGTTCCTTGACACTGGGTCATGCAACTTGTTAACTTAGGGTGTGGTTGTTGTGTTGGCAACAGCCTCTAAGCCTTAAATAAATTCACACTTAGGTGGCCCTGAGGCCGGCCATCCTTGATTTCGAGGGGCATCCATTATCTAGTGAGCAAGTGAGACTGGGCCCCTATGGGCTTGACAGCCCATTGGGGGCAGTGCAGATACAGGACAAGGAGGCAGTGTGATTTGTTCTGTATTTGACTGCCTTTCACTTCCCAAAATGTAAAGTTGATACCCATTAACAGCAAGGTGAATAAGGGTGCCCTGGGAGCAAACCAGGAACTCTTAGGACAGGAGACGAGCACTTAGTATCCACTTGGCCACCACACCCCTCGTGAGCTACTAAACACCCCTAATGTACCACACAACAGTTTTCATCATTGCTCCATCATACTTTATGTCTATCAGCAGTATGTTAGTGCTCTCTGCTGCAATGATAGATTCCTGGGCTCACAACTTTATAAAGAAAGGTTAAAAGATCCCACCAAAGGCTGTAAATATTCTTTAGAGGAAAGACAGGTTCGCTAATTACTTTGAAAGCTTAAAAAGTGCTGATGACCCTTTATCACAAAGGTGGTGCTTAAGCAGTTAGAAAAAATAAAGTGGTAATAGTCTTACCATTGTGTAAAATGAATCTGATAAAGGTGGTTGTCAAGAAGTACAGTATGTTCACAGTATCAGTATTGACCAGCCATTAGCACCCCAGTTATAACAGACCCCAACCTAAACTAACCATAATATGCTCCAACAGGGCTGGCTGTAGCTTCTGAGGGGCCCTGTGCAAGATAATGGTTGTGGGCTGTTTGATGTACTGGTTATAACCAAACCAGTACAGTACTTTACGCATCATTGGTCAACATGGATTTAGGGTTTAATGCTGTTGTCTTGTCTTGGGAGGGAGATGCTCAGTTACAAGAAATGGTTGTGTAATAGGGGACAGAATGTTGTATAGAGGATCACTTATCCATTATACTGACCTAAAGTCAAGTTATTTGTTGAGATGATACCATACTGGGATATTTTAGGTATTGTATTACATAATATACATATTGCTTTAGTTCAGCTCAGAAGTGCAAGGCATCAAGCAGACTTTGATGCCATCACTACAAGAGCAAACATTATACCTGTGACTTGCCGACAGCCTGTTCTTAAGACCAGACAGGATGTGCGATTGTCACAGACAGCAGATGTTATTGTAGTGACTTTTGTGGTGACTTAAAATATTTTGCCCATTATTAGTGCACAGTTAGTGGCTAGAAATGTTTCCATTTCATATACACTATGTACAGTAATTAACATTACTGTATACATTTAACATTTTTTAACTCATATCCTGGATATTTTCCTGAGGTTTGCTTGTGTTGTATTCACCTATACATATACATTACTGTATATAATACCATATATACTCTCTTTTTTTTCAGAGCATCTCTGAAGCCTGATGACATATTTCCATACAATGAAAATATCGAGAGATTTGGCAAACCACAGAAGAGGAAAGGCTTTAATGAAGGACTGTGGCAAATTGTTAATAATCCCAATTTTGACCCCAACGTAGTAAGTTTAATAGTCGTGTTCTGTAATTGTTAGTTTAACCAGTGAGGACTGCAGGATTGTTCTCTCTCTGCTTATTTAACAGAAACAACTGAAGTTTTCTCCAGCGAACTTGGTCTAAGTTTAGATAATGATAATATTCAGGTACTGTGCAATTTTCTAAACTCTCTGCATAAACACCAGTAAACAAACTAAATTCACATTTGCTTATTGTGTTTATTCAAAAATATCTAATCACTTACCTGTCAGTTTCAACACTTAAAGTCACTGAATCCCCTGAGAAAAGTAAATCTGAAACAGAATATTAAAACTTCTACACTATTTAACAATTTCTTGTACAGTATTTGAATACAGTACAGAAATCCCAATACAATCAACACAAAATTTATTTCTTTCATTAAACCACTTACTGTATGCTGCCAACCATCTACCCACTTCCCTGTTCACACACAACAAAATTAAGAAATACTGTATTAACAAAATTACTTGACGTTCTCTTAACACAGTTTAACTTAACTCAAAATCTTTCACATGGCCCTTTGAGTAATTACCCCATTAAACAATTCATTTCACACTGTAAAGCAATTTAACTGGACACAGAGGAACTAATAGCTTATAGTTCTTCACAGACAACTGAAATAATGGTGTCAGAGTACATTCTCACTGACACCAAACGACCAAAGATCTTGAAGTAACAGATGGTGATCCACTGTGTCAAAAGCTTCAGAGAGATGCAGCAAAACCAGAAGGGAGTAGTTTCTTGTGCAAGTGTATTTACTTTGTTTTGACAGCTACATGTCCTGTCATGTCTCACCTCTGGTATGGTGATATGGAGTGTAGGAGCATTCTATATTTCTCAGGAATTACTCAGTCTAAATCTACGTTAATATTATTTGAATATACAGTATTTTTTTTTTCCAGCCCATTCCACCAGAAGTACTGGCAACTGCTAACTCTGCACCAAACACACCCAAGACTCCCATTGCCAAAGCAGCAAAGAAACTCCAGAACAGCACCCCAGCAGTGGTAGCAACAGATGAGAAGTCTGATGAATCTGATGTGGATCCTGGCGACTTAGTTATTGATGAATCTGCTGGAAAAGGTATGCAAAAGTAGAAATTGTTTAAGAATTTTTGGAGGCTCTGATCCTTACAAAAGAAATAGATTAATTGATTTGGTGTTAGCATCAAGATATAATTCAACCTAGAGAGCAGCAATCAGATAATCATAGCTAACCCATGCAAGCTTTGAAAATGGGAATAAAATGGTGATGATGAGCATATTATTAAGACTTGGCACTTCATTGAAAAATACAAATGCAGTTATGTACATGTTCAGGTGTTTTGTACATTTACAGTAAATTATCATGAATCACAAATTAGGTAATGTCAGAAAAAATTGCAGTTGGAAATTCCTGTTCTGTTCCTACCCACTTGCAGAATGTGGGTGCCCACTTCCAGTCTAGCCCTCATATAGTGCAGTGATTCATGTAAAATCTACCCGGTAATCTTTATTTTGAACTTTTTGCGCTAAAATACATTTCAGTGTTGGAGAAGGTTTGGGTTAAGCGAGATGTCACTGTACATTGACAAGAACAAAAAAGAGGAGTGTTGTGCTAATGGCAAAAGTGGTGTACAGTATGGCAGTTTTTGTTGTGTGGGTTGCTGGACATAAATTTTTTTCTTGTAGTTAAAATTAGTGTGATCTTAACACTGTACAGTTGTTCTTTGTCAGTGTTTCAAAGTTGGTGGTTTGAATTAGAAATGGAAAGAAAACTATCTAAGACTACAATAGTGTCCTGGTGGTCTAGAGGTAACGTTTCCCAGTCACACACATTATTTTATTTTATTTTTTTTTTTTTAAGGTAAGAGAGGAGGCAAAAAGAGAAAAAGACAAGACTCGGATGGAACCTTGGAAACCCCAGCAAAGAAAGCTGCCTCGTCAGATGTGAAGAAGACTCCCAAGGACACACCTAAACAGGTTCGTGCATCCCAAAAAGACACACCAAAGGACACTCCAAAGCAGACACGCTTGATTAATAAAGAAGGTTCGAAGGAGACTCCCAAACAGGTTAGTCTCTTGTTAGTTGTACTACCACAATAGGACTTCTCTTGTTCGCACACTTTGGAGAACACAAAATTCTCTGAACTAAGGGACCACGAGCCCAAAATACCAGGTACGTACAAGACTTACGTTTGGACCAAGTGGCCGTGAACATAAATTATCGCCTGCATTAAAGGTACCATTGATGCTGTGATCCCAGATTAAATATAAGGTTAGAAGTGGAAAGACAATTTGTGTGTTGGTTGGGAAAGGAAGAGTGTGGCTGCAAGATGGTATGATGAACTTACGTGACAAGTGAATGGAGGGTTGCACTTGACTGCTTGGTATGAGGCATGGGGGAGAGAGAGAGAAATGAATATAAACTATAACACAAGTTTATACCTTCTCGTGCTAGCCTAGTATGTAGAGCTGCCAACAAATAATAAAAGCTGACAGGTCTTTGGCTTAGATTTCATCTCTGTTGGTAAAAAAAAAGTCAGTCATGTACAGTACTGTACACCAAGTGTACACTACTACCTGTACTGTACTAGCAGAATACAGTATGCCGATTCATGTTAGTAGTATTCACACCACTCAAAATGCTCATTCGGTGACTTATTTTATCAAACTTTATCTATAACGTAAAACCGATTTTCTTATAAAGATGATGGAAATCGTGAGAACATAATGTTAAGGAGTACAAAGAAAATAACAATACTGATGGGGGGTTAAACTTTAAAGTCAGATGCTTGACAAGCTTATGCCTTAGGGTGTTTTACATTTGGTATCCTAACAAGCTTGCTGAAATCATGACCCTGGGGTCATAAATGGCTTCATGCTGAGAGTTATATGTTTTATGGTTTTATGTAGGCAACTAAAGTTTAAAAAATATTCTTTTTATCTCACTAGGGAAATAGATGCAGTTAGTGAATGTAAATGACATGAGTATTTTTTTGTCAAAGTTGTTGAGCTTTGCAATGTTCTGTGATTTAATTTGTTCACAGTTTCTTGCTTTTAAGTGCATTGCCTCATAAAGTAAACTCCTCTTTCCCCGAGCATCACAGTAATATCATACTTTGCCTTTAGTCTTAATTTGACATTTTTTATTCATATATTTTTTAATTTATTTGAATCTCAGCAGGCAGGAGACACAACAGAGCCACAAGTCAGTCGGAGTGGACGATTGATTAAACCCAAGAAGTTCCTAGATGAGGGAGGAGATGCTTCTCGGCCACCCTCGGCCGCTGCCGGAACCCCTGTGGCAGGTACAGATGTACCCTCAGACACATCTGTCCCCACAGACACACCTGCCACAACAGTATCAGGTGAGTTGTTTCACAGCAGGATATAAAAATAGGAATATTATTCATCTGGAATATTAGGTGTGAAACAATAAACTTATTGTGTATACGAGGTTGTGTATAAGTTTTATATACAGTACTGTATAAGTGCACTCTTGTTGTATTGTATGGTGTAAACTTTTGTCATGAATGTCAACGTAACAAATTGAGAGTCTACAGTTGTACTATTAATACTCAACTCTTTGGTACAAGAAAAGGAATTTTTTTCACAAAGAAATGTTAATGATTATCCCTGTTGGTGACTTGATTTAAGATTAATATTTTAGCATCTCACCTTGCATCATTAGTGGTGAGGCTAAGCAAATATTAAGTGAGAAGAATGAATTTATATCAAGGTAAATAATTACAGTGTTACAAGTGATATGGTTCATATGTGAAAAGGAAGCACCAGGGACCCCTACGGTTCCTGATTGTAAAAAAAAAATGGTAGAGACCTTGTAGTTTGGTCTTGAGAAAAATAAGATATGTAAGGTGTTGTCAAATGATGTTTATGGGTTCTTGTTTTGTTGGTCAGAATGCTCCTTGGGTGATGAACAACACTCCTGTGCATATGTGTTTTTTTATGTTAAATACTCTTTTCAAATCATTATACTATCAGTGGAGTGCTAGATATCTAAGTGCCTAAAGTGTACATGAATTTAGCTCAGGCATACCTGTGCTCTAGGGAAGTCATCAGATGAAGTAAAACTGATTTTCTAATGTATTGAAGGTTTATGTGTAGTGACATCTTGGCTATTGTTAAAAATATGTAAGCTAAGCTACTGAAACTTGGTTTTGGTTGGAGAATGTGTGAGGAATTCAGTTTATACTGAATGAAAGACCTTGGACCTGTATAGTGTTGTAGTCACATATTTTATTACACAAATTCATATATCATATGTAGAATCAGCCAGCTTGAGTAATGTCTGCTAAGCTGAAACTGTGATTAGTATATAGTAGGGACTTGTATTTTAAAGGTGATAATTGCCTCATCAACCATGTATTAATACCAAGTTATAATACAACATTCATGGGTGTGGTGTTCACAGTGTTGGTTATTTTAGGCAGAGTTCTCTGTTGATGATAATGTTCTCTCTGCATGTGTTTACCCATTTAAAATTTGTGGCACATAAATTTGGTTATTCATGGATTCAGTCTGTGGTGTATCATTAATTTCAACGGGAATATTGTAACTAGGGCTGGAGGCTCAAAATATCATTCTCATTTACCCAATAAATTACTGTGCACTCTACAAAACATTTATTTAGCCTTCCCCATTTAAGAATAACCTACATAGATCCCAACTGTACATGGGTTTTTATTTTGTACCAGTTCAGCCAGGACTGGTTTTAAAACTTTAAAAACATGCAACAGTCTTCATAACATGAGGGTGTGCAAGAATTTTTTGCAAAATTAGATTAAGAATAAAAGGTTTTACATGGACTTCAAAATACAGCACAGGTGCTCTTCTACTTACGAACGAGTTACGTTCCTGAGGCTTGTTTGCAAGTCCAACTTTACTCCTGTAGATACCAAACATATTGTAAAAAAATGAAAAGATTATGGATATTTAATACAGCCTTAAAACCTGGCTCACTCTTCTCCCCTTAGGTAATGTTTGTTCTATCTGGAATTTTCTTCAAAGTAATCCAGTTTCATCCATATTAAACACCTGTTCTGGCAGGTAACCCCCCCCCTCCCCTCAGTGATGATGTTTGTATCTCTGAAAGTTTGTAAGTTGAACGTTCTTAAGTAGAGGAGCACCTGTACTGTATCCTTGAATGTTAAAACATGCACATTATTTGTCTTTTTCTATATTTCTTTCAGCAGTGGATTAAAATTTCTTATGTACAGTACAGTATTACTAGTTATTTTTGGCTAAAACCTAAATGAAATGTAAATATCAAGGTTCCTGCTACACCAAGGATAGGGAGGTATTTGAATATTTAAGGATTAATTTTGACCTTATAAGACTTGTTGAACACTCGTAATTAAGAATGAATGAAATGAAGTACTGTACTAAGAGTTACCTGAAGCTAAAGGGTGAAAAACTTATGAGAAAGGGCAGTGTGCCAGTACCTTTGGTGGCAGGTATAATTAAAACAAATACAGTACAATAGCCCCTTGCCAACCACAGATTTTGGGTATCCTCAGTTTTTACTCTATACCCTTTCACCAACCATGGTATTAAACCGAGTATCCATGGTTTAGCCTGACGTCATTTTTCCCTACGTATTCCAATGTATTCCTCAGTAAATATGAGGAATTAATATTTATAATACTAATAAATAAAAGAAAAGAAAAAATACTGCATTACCATTTGGCCATCATTTCACTTAGAACTCGGGAGACAGGAGCACGCTCCCCCTCCCGTGATTGTGGGCTAGCCCCCACTGACTTAAGAAATGTTTATTCTCTCTATGTTTTTGACCTAATGATTTTCTTTTTCCAGACACTACTGGTACATCTACAACCACCAAAGCAAGCATTGCCATAAAGAGTCCGCCCTATTCACCACCCATCGCAACTCCGAAGAAGAAACTGTCCCTCTCTGGCACTGAGGATACACCAAAACCACAGGAAGAAGTGCCTACTCCTACTGTAAGTGTTAGTGACATATTTATTGAATTAAATTTATGATTTACCTTGAAAAGTATATGATCAATAAATGGAAATATAAAGAACTGTTAAATTATATAATTTCTGTCTATTGAGAAGATATTCATTGTTTGTTGTCTCTCTCTCTCATACTCTCGACTCTCCTATTGTAAATGTGATGTCACCATCCCACCACTGTTCACATGTTCCATAGGTCCCTCCCATTTCTGTCCGTTTTACTCAGGATTTAACCCACGTATCTCACATCTTTATTCCTTACTCTTCAGCCATCAGATTCTGTTCAATCCTGGCATGCCATTTCTCCCCACATTCCTATAACCAGTCTCTCATTTAAATCCCTCACCATGATCACTCTATGACATATGCTAGAATTTTCAGTGGAGTTATTTGGGTTTCCCAGTACGTATCTCTTTCTTGTTCACTCTTTATCATTCCCTGGTGTGTATCTACCCAAGTCATATTCATAGTTTACAATTTTTTCTCCTCCAAGGGTCCCCCTCCACCAAGGAAGAGAGGGCGCCCTCCAAAGAACAGGGACGTAGATGCTTCTCCAAGGATCACTAATGCAAATGTAACGACCCAGTCCAAGACCTCCACTAAAGACACTACCTCAAAGTCCTCCTCATCTCCTAACAAGGCTCTAGGAGATCATTTAAAGCAGTCACCATGTTAGTAACAATAAGTTTTAAACATTTTATATAAGTGAATGGATACAGACACTTCCCAGGTTACAGATTTCCAACTTTGTGGATACTCTCCCAAAAGTCCCATTTAAATTGAGCTCCAAGTAATTCCCAGTCGAGAGGAATATTTCCATCCATATCCCATCTGTGAGTTTTATATTGTGTTATGATTATTCTTTACCTCATAATTTCTGGAAGATAATGCATATATAATTTTCTTCATACACACACACACACACTCCTACATACAGAAAGTGCAAAAATAAATAATAATTATAAAGATTCAAGTACAGCTTCTCCCCGACTTACAACCACCCAGACATACGACCGCCTCAGTCATACCAAAAATTTTTCAAATTACGTATTTTCAAGTCCCAATGTCAGTGATTGCGCTGTGTACTGACAAAATTTTTGTTTGTAATTCACTTTAAAATGGCTGGCAAGCTTAAAAGTGAGAGTTTTGTGGTGCTGAGAAGAAAATGAGTCACCCATTTCAGATTTTCTATGTATTATTTAAGCATTTTCGACTTACGACCTGGAATTGGGTCCCTAACCCCGTCGTAAGTCGGGGGGGAGCTGTACCTATGGACTTCCACTGTGAAACTGTGTGGGGGTTGGATGCTCTGTGGCAGAGCACCGTTTAGGGACACTGTTGTGTTACTAAGGCACGCACTGGGGTGACCACAGTGCAGTTTGAACACTAAACTTGTATCATTTTCTTCTCTATGCTTTCATTAATGCTATTTATATGCTTTTGTTATTGATGTTTATATACCTACAGTTTTAAGTTACAGTGTACTGTTAAAACTACTTTTAGGGGTGAATCTAGTAATCTGAACAGTTTTTACATGCAGTTACACAGGGTACATTGAGGGAAAAAACCCTATCTGGCAATCCCCAGGTCCCAAGGATGCCGGAAAATGGTCCTATGCTTATACAGGCCGTCCCTGACTTGCGGCAGGGATACGTTCCTGGACCCATAGTTTAGGTTAGGTTAAAGCCCATACAAAACAACAATAATATATCCATATATAACAAATCATGTAAATAAAGTGATGTTGAACACTATATAATGAAGAAAATAATGTAAAAAATGGGATTTTAATAACCAATTTTTGCAGTGAATGTATTGGGATCCCTTTCATAAGTGCGGGTGATGGTAAGTCGGACGGTAGTAACCCGGAGACTGCCTGTATAGTAATTGTATATAGCTACAGTATGTGTACTATGCATTTTCAAGAATTAAGTTTGGAAGGGTCACATCGTTTTTATGGATAGCCTCCAGGAACGAACCCATCCGTAACCCGGGGAGTGTCTGTACTTGTGTTCTTTATAAGTTAACCCATCCGTAACCCGGGGAGTGTCTGTACTTGTGTTCTTTATAAGTTAACCCATCCGTAACCCGGGGAGTGTCTGTACTTGTGTTCTTTATAAGTTAACCCATCCGTAACCCGGGGAGTGTCTGTACTTGTGTTCTTTATAAGAAGTTAGTTGGATTAGTTACTTCACCTTAAAAATTGACGAGGAATATCAGTGTATAAAAAACCCTCATAAGGTGCAGAGTTGTGTTTCTGGGGCCTCTTTCTGGAATCTTTTTCTTGTATTTTTAAAGTAAATAACATGGTTCCTTGTGTGAAATAAAATGCATAAGTTTTGTATAAATGTTTTAGTGGTGTATAAGTGTGTAGAGTGTGTATGAGTACAGTACAGGGGTCCCCGAGTTACGAAAACCCTCTGATGTGAACGAGGCCCCATAAAGTCGGTTATTTTAAGAATCCGACAAAGGTACAACTGGTTCGTAGTATTAACGTATAAGAACTAGTTTGCCAGGTGTAGCAGCGGGTAGGGAGTAATGCTTCACCTAGCCACACGCCTTGAGGTAGCGTCTGTACTTTGTATCTTCACCTCAGTAATGTGTGTGATCAAGTGCACACTGTTGTTTTTTGCTTATTAACTCCATTTTCCTGCCCTCATCATGGCTCCTAAGGCAAACCTGATACAAGTGATAGTAGTGCATCCAAGAAAAGGAAAACAATTATATACAATGGAAGTGAAAGTTGATGTAATTAAACGTTCTGAAAAGGGCGAAATGCCCTCAGTCATTGGTAAAGGCTTGGGCTTCAGTCGGTCAACGATCAGAACGAAACACAAAATTCTTGAACATGTAAAAGGATCTACACCAATGCACTCAGCTGTGATAACAAACAAACAAGTGAATTGTTAATTTAATTGGAAAGATTGTTTGTGATATGGGTGAAAGATCAGCCAGACCCAAGGTTTCAATGTAAGTGGTAAACTCTAATTTTTATTGATTTTCCTTTATTGTATTTTGTCATTCAATTTCTTCTTTTCTATTAAATTAAGTGATTCAAGATGTATATAAGGACTTCGGGTATGATATAGTGCACATAGGTTGTGTGTTCCGACTTAAGAACGTCCTCAGGAACGGAACTCGTTCGTAACCCGGGGACCCCCTGTACCAGGATGTCGTCTCAGCAAACTTTAGCTGGTGAGGTCTGATATTTGGTGAGGTCATGAAGGATTTACTGAATTCTATAGTGGAGGTAAAAAAAATTGCTTGTAATGTTACTGTAGAGGACTTAGACGAGACGATATTATAGCAGAAGAGGTGAGCTACTATAGTTATCTGAAAGGAGAACTGTGCCCTGATGAGTTTTACAGTTAACTGCTGAGCCTAGAGAATCTTTGCCAGAACCAAAGGCAGTTGTGTCGGACCAGCAAACAATAGGCCGAGTCCTTTAATTTGGCCATCACCTTCCAATTTTTTATTTGTAGTGTGAACTCAACTGTGGAGAGCATTTGAACCTTCAGTGCTCGTCTTAATAGAACAATGAGCGTTTATGGTAACCTGATTGAACAGATAATTAGAACCAACACACCAAGCTCAAACTTGGTGACTAGACTCCATTAGTAGCAGTTTATGCCCTCTATCTCTACCTCCACTTGTATGATAATTTTACTCTTCAGACAGATTGTGAGCCAGAGTTAGTTTCACTGGTTTCCAGTGTCCTCCAACCCTTAGTTCTCACCTCATGATTCTCAAGGATTGTAGATAAACAGATCCCCACCAGTAACATAGCTTTGGAGATTATCTTACAGGTTGATCCAAGTTAATTTTTTGCAAACGTGAGCATAATATACACATTTTTGCACAAGTTCTGTTATGTGTTTGAATTAATACTGACGAATAAACCTATAATATGCCATTGCGATATTTAGTTACAAAAAAAAACAATATTGGTACTACATGGAGGCCCAGGGACACAACTCCATGTATTATGAGGGTTTCCTGTATACATAAAATGTGTCTGTAGTTTATTTATTTATATTATGTATTTTCCAGCCAAAGAAAAAACAAAAAATCAAGCGAAGCAGAATGAGATTGAGCTCCCAAAAGAGGTTAGTACTGAATATGATGATCTTGTTTAGTAATTTATAGGAGAGTAAATGGGAAGATGTTAACTTACTTATGATGCACAGTAAAACCTCGATAAATCAAACATCAGTATATCGGAATTTGCTTTTTCCGGACTCTGAGATGCTCTGGTCACCAAAAATACTGTAAAAACGGAGAGAGGGGGGGGGGGGTTAAATAAAAAAAAAATCTGATGAAATGAACAACACTTACTGAATACTGTACAGTGGTCTAATCAGATTTGCTGTAGGCCTACTGAGACACTTGATTATGTAAGCAGGCTGGGGCTGATCAGGTGTTGCCATATTTGTCAGGTTTATTTATTTATTGATTCAGTATTATATTCTCATGTGATTGGCCTCTTATGGTTTTTCATCAAGATTAATATAACATCTTCAGTAAGAGATCAAAATACTGTACTGTATGTAATTTGTAATACAGGTATGTCTTGAAAATAAGAGGATAAGCTGTATCAAAAGGTTGTTTACTCAGATGTGTTCGTGTGAGCTTTCTGCAGACCAGATTACAACAGGGGTCACTATAACACACTGTATAGTATTTCAAATGACGATACCATTTTAAAAATGTTATATGATGGCTCAATTTGGCTACTTGTACTTAGACAAATGAGTAATGAATAAACCAGGATATATATAGATACATAATACTTTACTACACTGCAATATTAATTATTAAGCCATGATAAATACCTGTACACTACACTAGTATTTGTTAATTGGTGATAAATACACTGCAATAGTATTTGTTAATTGGTGATAAATACACTGCAATAGTATTTATTAAGTGGTGATAAATACACTGCAATAGTATTTATTAAGTGGTGATAAATACACAACTGTACTGTACTAATTTTTACTAAGGTTTGAAGACCAATCAGCTGTTTGCTCTTTGTAAACAAATGAATATGAAATGACTGATGTTCAGTGTGGGATTCTTTTTCAGGAAAGTTGATTCTTTTAGGATAATATTTTATCAGCGTGGCACCAAATGATCCTGAATTGTGGTGGAATTGAATATTGAAGTGTTAAAGGAATCTTGGGGGAGAGAGGGAGCTCCCCCACCCCTCTGCCAGCTGCTCACAGATAAACATTCGTCATCCACATACAATATACTCCTACACTTGTTTGTTCTTATTTTTATCTTTTTAGTACTGTACTGTATAGTATAGTATACAGTTTTCTCTTAAGTCACAAGACAAATTATTTGGTTACTTACATATAACACTTTACTGTAAATAACAATCATCTCGGTGACAACCAGACTTACATGTCTGATTTTCAACCCAGAGAGATATTTAATTTTTTTTTATTGTTGATGTAATTTTCTTTTAGTAACCTTGTTATACACTGAAAGACCTTAGTTGTTGAAGTGCATTAATAACATAACAACTGATTTTCGTTAATTAGTTCAGATAGGCAGTGTTATCTCTACCTACAAACCCCCGCCCCATATATTTGCCTTTTTTTTTTTTTTGACTGGGGTCTGCCCCAATTAGTCCAATTTATCGAGGTTCTACTGTTTAAGATTATCATGGAGATTCTTAACATGAGAAATGTATTTGGTGCAACAGTCATTTATTTTCTCCCATGTTTGTGGTCAAGGATATACTGTAAGTACCAGAGCCCTGTGCAGTTCCATTGATTGTCTCCACACCTGCAAGGTTAAAATTGCAACCACAGTGTTTTGCACTGTACTTGGTGATGCCACTCAGTTTTAAAAAGCAGTATCGGGTAAAATGAGTAAACTAACTTAAAAGATTGATGGAGAAATAGCTTTCTCTTACATATGATTTCGTCTACTAGTTTTTTGCCATGAGTCTAGTTCACAATTTTGTTTATGGAGTTTAACCCCTATCTTGGCTAATGTATGAACATTTAGGATGACCACCAAGACATTGAATTTTGGGGGTTGTAAAAAGAAATCTAAAAGAATATTTGAAGATTCTTATTCACTTCTGGATAAGCTAAAACATATGCTCTAAGAAAAAGAATCTGAAATTATTCATATGATTTGTGTGTGTGGGGGGAATTAGCTCACCCGGGCATAGGTCAATGACCCACATCAGGGCCTGGGGGGCTAAAATATAATACAGTAGAACGTCGATATGACACGAGATACGTTCCAAGAGAGGTCGCTTTAAACCAAATTCGCACTAAATCGAAGTGTTGTTTCAATGGAATAATTTAGTTTGGTACATGAGAGAAACACAAAATACTAAAAAGACTGAGAGTCTACCCAGATGCACCTCAGCCCATCTCCTAGAATAAACAAAACATTGTTTTTTGTAGTATTATGTTAAAACAAACACATTTAAATCAACACAGCTAAAATTATGGGACGTGAAATGGTCTGTTTACTAGCGATCAGAAGAGGGGGGGGGAGGAGGTGATATGTTTGACAGTTGATGCAAAGGTCTAGTGCTTATTTATTTATCTGTACTTAAGAGTGACTTTAAGTTTTTCTCTTATAAAATGTCACTGAACTGATATGTTCTAATTAATTTTATTATAAAGGGCTAAAATTTTTATCTATTCTGCTAAATATACGACGTTTATATTCAAAATTTTCGCTGTCTTGCTAGGACTCTAGCAATGCAAATTATATTCTCCTAACTTTAGTCTGTGATATTATACAAGATAAAAACTTAAAGCCTAAAACCACCCAACCCTGGCTGGGAAGATGGGGGGGGAGGGAGATGACATATTTGACAGCTGCGCCGAAGGTCTAGTGAAGAATTTATTTGTTTATTTATGTCCTTTCGAGTTTTTTTTTTTTTATGTCACAGAAGTGACCGGGAGAATATAATTTACATTGCTGGAATTCTTGTAAGATAGTGATTAATTTGAATATAATCATGCTATAGTTTGCACTTGACAAAAATTTTTGTAATCATTTCATACATTATTTTGAGTACATGTACAGTACAGCTTTGGCCTTAGGACAGTGTAGCGTGCCCAGAGAAACATTAGGTGCTAATTTTAAAATATGATGCTCCAGATTGACTTGCGCAAAATAGGAAAGATTCACTTTAAATGAAAACATTGTCCTTATTTGTGGGAGTCGCTTTAAATCAATAATCTTAAATTGATTCGCTTTAAATCGACATTCTACTCTAATAATAACATTAATATTTACTACTAATAATAAAGAGCCATAAACAAATACAAAAAAAGATCAATAGTGAGAAACTATATATGTATGTTGTGTACTCAAAGTAAGAGAGACATTTGAGACCCTGCAGTTGTGTGTAAATGAAGCAGAAAGTCAGATCATCAACCTGGGACTTGGTCACAATTTTTATGATGCCATATGGCAGAAGGGGCTGCCATTAGACAATACATTATGCTTCCAATATCTTCCCAGGGTGTAGTACCTCCCTGTTTGGTAACTGCCTACTACAGGTTGTACCTCTCTAGTCCGGCATTCTGTGGTCCGGAAACTCCCGTGGTCCGGAACGATTTTAGTTTGTCCAACAGGTAGATAGGCAGCTTTTTTGTTTTTTTATTTTTTTTATTTTTTACTTATTTTAATTATTATTATTATTACAGGAGTATTAAATTTTTGCCCCTCAGGCCCCTCGTGGGTCAGTGACTTATGCCCGGGTGGGCTAATCCCCTTAAAAAAAAAAAGCCGCGGGAAATTAAGGTTTGTTTACATCCGGCAGTTCGGCTGCTCTCTCTCTCTCTCTCTCTCTGCTTGTCTATACAGAGTACAACATTTAACCCTTCAATATATATGAGCAGTAAATAAGTGTTGCTTTCATATTCTTATGTAGAGTAATGACGATATGTTTTCACATGTGCGCACTTACATATGCGCAGTCTCACTTTTTTTTTTACCATTAATGGTTAGCTACTTATATTGTTCCATTTATTAACATTAAATAACATTACAGGTACTTCAAACAACCATATTAATTTTTTTACATTAATTTTACTGCAGCTAAAATCAGGGTCTTATTTTCTTCAGTTTTATATGTAGAACCAATCAGTCACTGGTTTTGTAAGCTTTAACATAAACAATGCCGGCAGCCATCTCATCTCCTCTAATATTCCACGTATTATTAATAAATTGTATTGTTAATTTTGCACACACAAACATTAATTCAATAAAAAGAAATTCAGAAACATAAATTAAAATATATATGAACAGTAAATAAGTGTTGCTTTCATATTCTTATGTAAAGTAATGACGATATGTTTTCACGTGTTCGCATGCCCACTTACATACGCGATCTCTTTTTTCTTTACCATTATCGTTAGCTACTTCTATTGTTCCATTTATTTCCATTTATTAACATTAATAACATTACTTAAAACAACCATATTAATTTTACTACAGCTACAGCCAAGGTCTTATTTTCTTCAGTTTTATATGTAGAACCAGTCAGTCACTGGTTTTGTAATCAACGAAAACAATGCTGTGTCATTTCCTCGTGTGTTTTAATATTCTACGTATTATTAATGAATTGTATTGCTCATTTTGCACACATAAACATTAATTCAATAAAAAAGACATTCAGTAATAAACAATAATGAATCTTTTGTACATACGAGAAATGACGCTGTTTACACGATTATGCCCGTCGTCTGCACGTTGGCGGGCCGTTCAAACCCGTCGAAATTCAAGTTTCCGCCGTCAAAATTTTTATTTATTTATTTTTTTGTGTGTTCCAATAAAATACGTTAAGAATTAAAAACTCGCGAAATTTGAGAAGCTACTATACGACATTTAACCCTTCAATATGTCTTCAAAGAGACCATGATGCAGAGAAGGTGGTGCTAGTGCTTCCAGGCATAAGCACAAGTCACTATCTATCCAGGAAAAGGGTGAATTTCCATGGTCCGGCAATTTCCATGGTCCGGCACCGGTCAGGTCCCGAGGTTGCCGGACTAGAGAGGTACAACCTGTACCTATAAGGTTATCTAGTGACAATAATAAGCCCCTATTTTTCACTTTTCTGTTGGCTCTTTTAAATTTTATTTTTAGGCAAGAGCATTTCAAGTCGTTTCCTCACCCATGTTATTGAGTGTGATATTTCTTTTCAGTTAAGTATTTATTGTAGAAATTATTAGTTATATCAGAGAATATAAATGATTGAAGGGGTAGTTATGATAATCTTTGGCATAATTTTGATGATCGATAAATACTCATTCAATATTGCACTTGTTTAATATTTTAAAAAGTACAACCACTCTTACCTCAGTTAGCAGACAGGCTAGGGAGCCACATAATTATGGTTAATCTTTTAAAAATGAGCATAATGTGTAGACTTCTAAGTGTCCTCTTACTTAGTAAAGCAAGAGTTGCAATGCCCTGATTCAAGCTATGCAGATTGTGGAATATTTACTTGTCCTGGACGTGTCTTACAAAATTTACTTGCCTGGACACTTTTTTTCCTTGCTCTGACAAGTTTAAAGGAAATTTGCTTGCTTTGTTTTTTTAATGGAAAAAGTTTAATTAACCTTTTAAAATGTTCAAATGTGCAGGTATTGTGTCTACCAACTCACAGATCACTTGCCCAGGCTACCTGGCACTTCTAATCTGCACAGCCTGCCCTAATTACCTGCTTACCCATTTATGAGACTTATTATTGTTGTTATTATTACAGTAATGTTTATTTATTTTTTTAAGTACATTGTTTGGACATATTTGAGAAGGGTTATATCCATTTAGTTACTGCACTTCAAACTTCCTTACAGAGTGACTTAGCCAGTAAACAAACGTTCCTGAAGTTAAAAACAGACATGGAGTCCGGCACACTAAATGCTGAAGAACTGAAGGAGTTGACTAAAGCTAATGAAAAGGAGGAGACACACACAGCCATTATTGAGGAAAATAAGAAATACACAGAGACCTGCAAAGCCAAGTAAGTTTAAGAGTTATGTGTTGTTTTGAGCTTGAGCTTATTTTAAGAGGAAAATTTTCACTTAAGGTAACTGTTGATTTGATGGTGTTCTAAAACGAATATGTGATTTAAATATAAGTACAGTGACCCCTCGTTTAACGAACTCAATCCGTTCCAGAAGGTCGTTCGTTAACCGAAAAGTTCGTTAACCGAAACCATTGTTTCAATGGGTTTTTGGGTAATTGGTTCCAGCTCACCGAAAATTTCCTAAATTCAACAAAAATGGTAGAAAAGTTCACTTACTTTGAGGTGTGTATGTAGAAGGCTCCTGGATAATGATGATGATGATGGGAATTAGAATGGTGGTGGAGGAGAAGGGAGAAGAGAAGGCATTGGGGTGGAAGAGAAGTCACCCCATGGCGCCATTTCACCCATAAAATTTTAGCTCTCTTGGTGTAATTCAAGATTATTTTCTTTAAATCAACACTGCACTGCATTATATATTGTCAATATGTAAAATAAATTTCAATATAACCAATAATTTGCTTGGAAACACAGAAAAAAAGCGTTTAGTTGAAGAGAGTCTCAAGCAAGATGTTACCTCCAGTGAAAACAGAGGGAGACTAACGCCTGTTTGCTGTGTTAAGAGGCTGGATGCCGCGCATTAAACTAGTCACTTTACCTTCAATTATGTTCAATAATTGTTAAAATGACTAAAAAATTGAATATTAAACTTTTAAAATTATTGAATAGTATAAACTTCTTGATATTTACTAAAATAGTAAGGAATTTAAGCCCTAGAACCGATTAATGTATTGGCTGACTGATACTAAAGCTGGTTGCCCGGTCAGTGCAAGCGAAAACATGTTGAGGTCGGTTCGTAAGAAATTCGTTAACCGAATTGAAGATCCTTATGGAAGGCAGTTCGTTAACCGAAATTTCGTTAAACGAGGGGTCACTGTATAATGAAGGAAGTGGTTTAAGTCATTACATTGCCTAACACTGGGATTTTTAAAAAATAAAAGTTTGCGAGATAGGAATATTGCATAAAACTTATTAGTTTAACAGTTTGGCTGTGGGAGGTTTCCCTAACTGAATAAAATCGTCTGGCATTAGTCGGACTAAAATGATAAGTGCGGGAATCACAGAAAAAGGGTTAATGTTTTTTCTATATTATGTTATAATGTATATTGCCAATTCAACGTTGTTCTTTTGTATGTTCTAAAATGTTGAGTGAAGCTTTTCTCAACATAGATCCTTTGAATTCATATATAAAACAATACTGGGGCTCCTTGTTATATCCACGTTCAGCATATGCAAATTCAGTTATGTGCGAGGACCCTTTTTCTACCAAAAGTTAATTATATGTGAGGTAAATTCAATCTTATGCAGTTGAATGTGTGAAATGTTCTGCACCACTTCCCGTCTCTTGGTATCATGCCCCCTACAAACTGCTGCTCAATTGCTGTGTGCTGCATTATGGTGACAGGAGAGTTTGTTCCATGTGAAATACACACACCACAAACATCAGTCTCACATAGACCATGACACTGTGCATATCTGTGCTGGTTTTACAGTGTCCCTTGCTTTATGTATGAGCTGTTTTCTTAAAAAAACAATAATAATAATATATATATTATTACATGTGCTTAATAGGGATCCAGTCCAGGACCTGTAATGGCCCTACAAGAATCTTATCAAACACTTTCATAACAGCTCCGATGAGAAATCTCCAAATAGAATTTAACAGTCATCTGACATAAAAAGTAAAAAATAAAATAAAAGAAATAAGATAGATCGTCAGGAGAAGATTGTGCTGGGTCATCTGCCTTACTTTCACTTCACTTGTAGGAGTAGGTAGGGTGGCATCAAGAGGATAAAGCACAGGCAAGAAACTGACACCAGCAGACAACACAAATGGAGGTGGTGTGATGGTGGGGCTGCTGACGGGCAGCAGATATAAGGGTTGATGTTGAAGGGCCAGGAGAAGCAGGTGGAGTGGGAGTGAAGGCAGTGCGAGGCTTAGAAGTGCATCATGGTTGTCTGCTTTGCCAATTATTGCTTATGTGCATAAACCTTCTTGTAGGGTGCAAGAGCAGTCTAAACTATGCTTAAAATGCAGGCTCCTTTCCAGATTAGGGTCCAGGTCTATTGCAGCCTGCACAAGTGCCTCAGCCTGCGATAAAAAGTCAACCAGCTTCACAGACAATTCCTTGACTTCAAGGACCATTTCCTGTTCCTCGTCTTCTTTATCATCAGCAAACATACCCATGGGATCTTCCACACTCAACTCCTCGTCACGGGAATCAGTTGGTTCCAATATGTCTGCTTCCCCAAGGTCTGGATATTAACAGCACATACACAAGACACCAAATACACAGTAACAGCATAGATCCATACAGCAAAATGGATTATGAAAGTGATGCTTGTGGTGTGCTTGGTACCAAACGTTGTGGTTAGGTAACAGCTAATGGGAGAAAAGATACTGAAAGGCAGGAAGTGGCGCAGAACATGTTTTCACACGCTCGACCGCATAAGATTGAATTTCTGGTAGAAATTGATTCCTTGCATATACAGTAGAATCCAGCACCTATGGGGATTGAGAGGTGTCTTAGAAATAAAGAAAATATAATATGAAACTATAAAATAAGGAAAATGAAGAGTATGGGTGTGTATGTGTGGGAAGTGAATGTGTGTAGAGGTGATGAGCCACAACTGTTGTTGACTTGCCAGCCCAACCACGGTATTTATTGTGACAAATAATAAAACTATAAACAAATTTGAAAAATCATTACAATACAGTGATCCCTCGGTTAACGAATTACCTTCCATAAGATTCTTCACTTTGGTTAACGAATTCCTTACGAATTTTTCCCAATGTTTTCACCTGCTCACCAGCTGTAGTATTAGTCTGCCAATACAGTAATAGGTTTTAGGGCTTAAATTCATTACCATTTGAGTAAATATCAAGAAGGTTGTACTATTCAATAATTTTCCAAGTCTTATATTAAAGTTTTTAGTTATTTTAACAATTATTTAACATAATTGAAGTACAGGGAACTAGTTTTTAGCACGCCAAACAGCCACTCAACACACCCAAAATGGCGTCAGTGTGTGTCCCTACTCAGTGGAGGAAGCTTCTTGCTTGAGACTTTCTTGAACATAAACTATTTTTATGTTTTTACAGTACAATTATTGGTCATTCTGAAGTTTATTTTACATATTGACAATATATAATGCAGTGCAGTGTTGATTTAAAGAAAATAATCTTGAATTACACCTCGTGAACTTAAAATTTTATGGGTGAATTGGCGGCATGGGGTGACTTCTCTTCCACCCCAATGCCTTCCCTTCTCCTCCACCCCCATTCTAATTCCCATCATCATCATCAACCAAGAGCCTTCTACATGCACATCTCAAAGTAAGTGTACTTTACTGCATTTATTTTTAGTTTGTATGTAATTTTCGGTGAACTGGAACCAATTACCCAAATCCCATTGAAACAATGGTTTTGGTTAACAAAATTTTCGGTTAACGAACGACCTTCTGGAACGAATTGTGTTCGTTAACTGAGGGACCACTGTGCTGTACTCTAATGTGGCTTAGAAAAAAAGAAAATATAATATAAAACTGTAAAATAAGAAAAATGAAGAGCATGGGGGTGTGTGTGTGTGTGTGTATATTATGTGATGTTACAGGATACACACAGCCAGTGCAGCAGTCACACATCTGTGAGTCAGCTTGAACTGTGTCATGTTGCCGAGAGGATGGTTTGAGTGTGGAAGGAGCTTCTTTTCTTTTTTTTCTAACATGTGGGGTTTTATATTTTATGATGTGCTATGTATTAATTTTATGGTTTATTATAGCAATATATGTGGCAGTTCATCCCTGTTACACACAATATTCAAACTTGTGAATCTACTTGATTTTGGGAGGAATTATTGTTATTATTATTACAGGTATTTCATCTTGGTGCCATTTAGTTGACTGCCGGTTGCACGGATACCGGATAACCGGGATTCTACTGTAATTGAATTTGTATAAGCTAAACTAGCATATAACAAGGACCTCCCCCCAAAAAGATTATTGTTTGAATATCATATAGTAGTAGTAGAGTGTTCTTGGGGCAGTACAGCTTAGTTTGAGGAATGTTTACATGTTGGAATGGAACTCCTGGTATAGGTTTTCTCTACTTAAGTTAGTAAATTCATTGCCAAATGATAATGATAGTAAAAGCATTGCTCAAAAATTTTTTAAAGTCACTGCTACTCTATTAGGGAATGAAAGGTGTTTCTCATGTTGTCTTATCATTAAAAACTTAACATGACACAGTACCTCTTACCAGTTGTGTGCATCTTGGTATTGTATATGTACCACAAGTTTATACCGTACATGGTAAAGTACAGTAGAACGTCGATATAACGCGAGATACATTCCAAGAGAGGTCGCTTTAAACCGATTTCACACTAAATCGAAGTGTTGTTTCAATGGAATAATTTAGTTTGGTACTTGAGAGAAACACAAAATACTAAAAAGACTGACAGTCTACCCAGATGCACCTCAGCCCATCTGCTGTAGAATAAACAAAAAATAGTTTTTTGTATTATTATGTTAAAAGAAACACTCATAAATCAACACAGCTAAAATTATGGGATGCGAAATGGTCTGTTTACTGGCTGGGAAAATGGCGGGGAGGCAGGGAGGTGTGGTGATATGTTTGACAGTTGATGCCAAGGTCTAGTGCTTATTTATTTATCTGTCCTTAAGATTGACTTAAAGTTTTTCTCTTATAAAATGTCACTGAACTGACATGGAAGAATATAATTTACATTGCTGGAATTCTTATAAAATAGTGATTAATTTGAATATTATGGTATAGTTTGCACAAGACAAAAATTTTTGTGATCATTTAGTACATTATTTTGAGTACATGTACAGTGCAGTTTTGCCCTTAGGACAGTGTAGCGTGCCCAGAGAAACATTAGGCGCAAATTTTAAAATATGATGCGCCAGATTGATTCGCGCAAAATAGGAAAGATTTGCTTTAAATTAAAACATTTTCCTTAATTGTAGGTGTCGCTTTAAATCAATAATCTTAAATTGAATCGCTTTAAATCGACGTTCTACTGTATATGTACGACAAGTGCCATATAATGGTGCTGTACAGAAGAAGGGGGCAGATAAAGAATTTTAGTGTTTGTACAGAACCCTGGACATGGAGGCACAACTGCTGGACCTGGACCAGAAGATACGTGAGGCCCTCTCCGTCACTAACCCACGTAAAGATGATGCTAAACTCTATCTCGAGAGGATGTCCAAGTTAGTCATCTCTGGTTTGATGCTTAAGAAGAATCCCCATGTTGTTGATGCCATTAAAAAAGTAAGTAGTATTGTTTTTAGTATTTGTGGTGTTATTAGTGCTTAGCTTTTTGAAACAGTCTCAAGAGAATTATAGGCTTAGCTTTTGTAGAGGTGATGAAACCTAGTTAAAAGTCAACTTAACTTGGTGAATTTTTTTGGAAGATAACGAGGTTAAGGTTGTTGGTACCACATTTATACACATGAGAGGATGAATGACTTCTGATTATTTTGGGGGGTTTGCAAACTCATTATATATTTGGGAGATTGGTGTAAAATTTTGTAATTGAGTTTATCAGTCTGGTTATAAAGAATTAGAAACCTATTGGCTCAGTTATGTTATATGTAATGACCAAAATATCTTGAAATATTTTATTTCGTTGGAACTCTAATGATCTGGATGTCCTAGATAACACTTGATGTAGTTGATTGCTTTTTTTTTTTTTTTTTTTTTATCAAAATAGAGCAACCCTAAATTAAGGCTTATTTTTCAGTGTCGTAGATACAAATACGATGATGAGGTTCGGCTGAAAGCAGACATGGTGTTCAACAGATTTAAGGTAGGTAAACTTCTCCACATTATGTTACTAGTACTGTATTTGATTTAATTCATATGTATGCCTGAGTGAGTTGATGCAGGAAAATGGGAATGGTGGGATGAGACATTGGCAATGCTCATCAAGGAGAAGAAAAGGGCATGTGAGTGCTATTTGCAAGAAAGGAATGATGAAGGAAGGAGTACAAAGAGATTACTAGGAAGATGGAGAAACAGTTGTTGTAAGTTTAAATAGAACAAGAAGCTTCTCTGGTGGGAACTAAATAGATTGAGAAAAAGCCCAGACAAATAGAATAGGCAGTTAAGAATGAAAGAAGGAATATAGTGCAGAAAAATAAGAAGTAAAAAGATGATAGGGAAAATATTTTGAGAAGCAGCTAAATGTAACAGATAGCAAAAGGTAGATTTGTTTTGTTTACGAGTTAGTGGATTGAATAGTGTGAAAGATAAAGTGGAGACGAGCATAAAGGGAAGAAGAGGAGGAGGAGAGACTGAATGTAATCCCAAAAAATAGTAAGGCACCTGGAGTAGTTGGAATTGCCATGGAAATATTAAGGAGAGGAGTTGGAATAGTGATTGAAAGGATGACAGGGGTGGATAGGTTATGTATGACAAGGCGAGGTATCAAAGAAATAGCAATAAATGTGTATAGTTGTCTTGCATAAAGGGAAAGTTGATAGGCAAATTTATAAATAATCAAAGAATAATTTAAGGATACCAGAAAAGGCATATGGTAGAGTTATTGAGAAAATTTTAGTTTAAATAATGTATATTGGGGAGAGCCACATGGGTTCAGAATAGGAAGAGGATGTACAATGTGTAGCTATCAAGTTTTTGCATTAATGAATACCAGAGTATAAGTTCTAGAGGTGAAAATTTAGTTTGTGGCTTTTATAAATTTTGAAGAAGAAAAACAATTATTGGAAAGAGGGAACGCTGGTGTCCAATTTAGTGGAATTAAAGGGAGAATGTGTGATGTCACCATGGTTGTATAATACTTTGCGTGGATGAGATAATAGGTGAAGTGAAAGCAAGAGTAATAGAGACGGATACAAAATAGTAAAATATGATGAGAATGGAAGGATAGTCTGCTGCTTTTTTGTGGGTGATATGGCTTGTAGTGGCTGATTTAGAAGAAAAATTACAAATGCTAATACAGTATTGTATATCTGTTTGGAAGAGTATGTATGAGGAGAAATTTGAAACTCATTCCGCCAGCAAATCAGTTGCATTGATAAAATCTGCTCTAGGTTTTGGTTGCAAAGCTCATGTGAATGGAGTATAGGTTGTGAAGTGACAGGTAAAAAAACCAAAAACAGGTAGTGATATCTCCGTTAGCCGGAACAATTGGTGCAGAGCACTTCCGGGAATGAGAGATTTCTGGGTAACGAGACGACTCTCAAACCTGGAAAAAAAATCACCCATCCCTGGAATTGTCTATTTTTCCCAGAATTTCCAGAAATTGTGCATTACATTATCTCGAACCCGGAAAATAATCCCCCGTCCCCAGAATTTTCCAAGGGGCCGGAAATTTTTTCTCATAATCTCTGGATAATGCACCTAATTCTCATCTCTCAAACCTATAAAAAATCCCCATTCCAGAAAACTTTTCTCAGAATCTCTGAATATTGTGCCTGATTTTCATCTCAAACCTGGGGGGGAAAAAAGGGGTCCCCCAAATCTTCCAGTATTTTCAGGGTACCAGGAAATTTTCTCAGAATTTTCCAGAAAATGCGCCCCTTGATAAATCGTTCCCAAGCCTAGAATTTTCAAGAAAATTCTGAGCAAATTTCAATTCCAGCAATAGGAGAGTTCCGGTTAAGAAGGATTCCGGCTAACGGAGATATTACTATTTATGGAGTCTTGTTGTGAAAGGTGAGTCTGATAGCAAAACATGTCTATTACAGCTGTAAGAATGAACAAATGACAGCAATTTAAGGGAGACTCAAAGTGTGTGTGTGTGTGTGTGTGTGTGTGTGTGTGTGTGTGTGTGTGTGTATTTTTTCTGTTGATTCCAGTTACCGTACATTATAGTGGGAAAAGTCTTGAAAGGGTGAAAAAAAAGATACAGTATTATTTCCCTCTCTGATGTTTCTGTATCCCTTGATCCACTCAACATAAAAGAAGTAGTTGAGTAGAAGATAATTGAAATTCCTGCATAGAAAGTTATGAGGTGGAAACTTGAAGGCTTGAATGAAGGTACAGTAGTCAGTGCTCTTTTTGTAGCTTTGGTAGAATAAAATCTGCAAACAAAACACCTTGGCCAATTAAGGCAAAAAATTAACGTTTATGTTATATCATTGACAGTTGCTGTTTGTGGTTCCTGAAAGTCAAGAGTGGGACTCTATGTTTGCAGAGAAAGTTGCCGAATTTGACGAGGCTTGTCATAAGTCTGGTATATCAGAAGAGAGTAAGATCTCGCTGGTTCGCGACCCGACCCATCATAGTAAGTAGGTTTAAAAAAGAAGACTGATTAATAAAACTTGAAACCACCTTTATTATATATTTAAATATATATAAATAAATTTTTTTTATTCAAGCCTTTTCCCGCTATAGTGCAGGATGGTTGGAATCAAGTAGACTCATATACTCTCCCTTCAGTAGCTGTTATTCATTCATTCTTACTTCTGTAATAAATGTGTTGTATTACTCACCTTCCACAACAACCTCAAATATGTGTTTTACCTTTCATTTCACATAACTTACTTTCACCCATCAGCAAACATGTCCTTCCCCAAAAAATCACTAGGTGTCATGGTCTTTGGTCTTTCAGGCACAATGCTGCTTTCTTTAAGTCCATCTCACATACTTCCAGTGCATCTTTTACCCTGTTCTTTCCTCTTTCTTGATGTTCTTTCCATTCTGCCACCCATCTGTGTATTATACATGTGTTTTTACCAATCTAACATTCCATTCTCTCAGAATCTTCGTACCACCTTGGCAAACCCCTAATTTCCCCCATACTTCCCTATTTCATAGTCTCCGCATCCTATTTCTCTCATAATCTCCGCATCCTATTTCCCCACAGTGCTCTCAACCTCAAGCACATCATTTCTACCACTTGATCCTCTTTTGTCCAGAATCCATGCACTTTTGTCTTTGCCTCCATCCATCTCTCAGTGCCTCTCACTTTTCCTGGCTGTTGCCATTTAACCAGACCATTATTACATTGTGATTTTTGAGGCCCCAGCATCAGATGGGGTTTATGTCAATACATAGGGTTTACTGTATCAATCACCCTTCCCTCATTATTTTACACTGCCTCATGAGTGGATGACTTGGTGCAACATTTGCTCTTTAGAGGCAAGCAGGTCTTATTAGAGCTGACTCAGCCCAGTCAGCATAAGATATTCCAAAGCATACTTTCTGCCATCTTTATTTCAGGTCATTGCCATTTTGATTAGGTCTTGGTTGATAATTTAAGAGAACAGTCATGGCATATTTAATACAAACAAAAGCTAAGTGTTGATCCCTCTTGCTGCCAACCCTACTAAGTCCAAGTTAGGGTGAGAGAAGTGTTTATTCTTAGCACCAGCATTTATTAACCAATTCTCATAACTTTGTACCCCAATCTACACATTTTGTGAGAGCTGGGACTTGTTCCAGGCAGATTATTTTAGACAACTTGACATGAGCGCAAGATAACCTTAAAAATTGTAATTTGTACTCAGCTGCTCCCTTAACTTATTTTGTGTGCAGTTTGCTGCTCTGATGCTGCTTCTGCCATTTCATATGTTCCATTGTTGATGGGATTTTGAATTCAAATTGTTTAATCTTTCCTGGAGGCCCAGAATAAGATCGTGGTAAGAGACTAGGAATATTAACTTCCTGAGTGAGTATGTTTTAGCTGGCTTGGCATTATGATTGATGTCTGGCTGGCTGAAGGGAAGTAGAGAATGGAGGATTTAAACTGAAAGCCAATTTTTTTGGCAGAACCTGTAATTGTCGTGATACCCTCCCCCCTCTCCTAATTTAGTAACTTAGCTGGAACTGAAGGGGGGGTTTGGCTTAAATAAAGATGGCATTGGTATATCTGGTACTAAATGGGTAGATTCTGCTCTTAAAAATACCCAGCCTTTAAAGGACAGTTGTGGGTGTGTGGAAGGATTGATGATCAGTACAGAACTGTCCAAATGGGTTAAAAAAATTATCCAATTGGTGCTGGATGTCCTATCCAAGGGAATCAGGGCATGGACAGACCTGCCAAAATCAGATTCGTCTATTACAGCAATTGTTTGACAAAAGGGTGAAAGGTAGGAAAAAGAGATACCCTTTAACAGAATCAATTCTAATATGTCTATCCTGGGTGCCAATGAAGTCGGCCCTTGGTGACTTCGACCCAGTGATCTTGGCCCATATAGGGAGTGAGCCGAGGTCAACAATGACATTAACAGTCAAGATTTGAATATGAGGCTGTTTTTTTTTCAGTTAAAGGAAAGATAATCTCTTTTTTTTTCTTTTTTTTTTTTTTTAGAAGTCCCTTAATATACCATTATTGCATTTTCTGTGCTGGCATTCATTACAGAAATCACACTTTACTTTGCACTTGTCGGTTTTGAACTTCTGATTCACAAACGATTCGATTCACAAAATTCGAAGTTTACTTGTTTTAATATCAGGCTGACACCTCATTTCTACCACCACTGTGCTCACAAGCGGAAGTCACCAGCAATGGCTTCGAGCAATACCTGCTACAGTGTAATGCATGGCAGCACAGAAAATGCAATACAGGGATATCAAGAGACTTCTATCAAAAAATGTTTTAAAGGACAAGCAGATCCACCAAACTGGAAATGTTCAAGGTGTGAAGCTGAAATGCACAACACAGCTCAGAACACTGCAACCCTAGATGAACCAGACCCCCTCAACAAATCTTCACTGGTTGATCTGGAACCCAACACAACGACTGCAGTGGACCAAGACACGCATGAAGATTATTAAAGCAACTTCAATTCATGGTGGAGATAAACTTTTTGATTCCAGAGGTTACTCGTATACAGTCAAGAGGAAATGTGTCAAGTCCACTACATGGAGATGTTCTCAACGATCCAAACTGATTAACTGTGCAGCAACTGTTCGTCAGATCGATGATCAGTTCATTCCTGGACCCCAAGACCACATTCATTCATCAGGCAAGCATGGGATCGGATGTTGCTGCTCCATTGCATTGCAAGCAAAATTAACTGCAAATCAACAGCCATTCACCTCAGCTGCAGGCATTGCCACTTGAATTTATCAAGAATGTCTTCCCTCATGACCCTGTAGGGCAATTAAGTCAGTTGAATATGTTGTTCACAATGCAAACTATTACCGCCGTAAGCACCGTCCAAAACATCCAAAGAATCTGGACTTTGAAGTGGGGTCGCAACACATTGCTGAAAATTTCTTACGTGGTGACATACGGGTTGATGACGCACGCCACTTAATTTTCTCAACAGATGACCAACTTCAACTGCTCTCCAGTTTAAAGACATGGTATGCTGATGTCATGTTCCACATATGTAGTTAGAAAACCTTTCAATCAGTTATTCAGTATTCATGTGTTTGTACACTATGAAGAAGCAACAAAACAGCTCCCAGTCATACAATGTAGTGTGTTATGTCTCGTCCCCAGAAAAAAGACTACGTTTCTGTGATTAAAGCCATCATTGATATGCTTCCCAGTGAACCACATGTGGAGAGAATTGTGATGGACTTCGAGAAAGCTCTGTGGCATGCTACAAGTTCTGTGCTTCTGACTTGAAATAAAAGGATGTGCATTCCATTTTACTCAAGTAATCTTCTGGAAAATACAAGAACTTGGATTGCAAACTTCCTAATCATCAGATGAGGGAACTCACAAGCTGCTTCGGAAGTTCATGGCGCTTTGTTTTATTCCGGAAAAGCATATTCTGGAAATATTCGAGGGCTTAATGGCCCGTGTGACCTCAGGACCACTTCTGGAAATTGTGGAGTACTTCAGGAAAACATGGATTAACAGTTCTATCTGGCCACCTAAGTCCTGGAGCATATATAAGCTAAGTGTGAGAACTAACAACGACGTTGTGGGGTGGCATAACCATCTGAAGACGAAAGGGTAGACACAGATGTCCTTTTACATGATGATGAAGCAACTTTAGTAACTACAGGGGACCCTAAAATTCGCGGGGATTAGATTCTCAAAATGGCCACAAATCGCCAAATCCGCGAATAACATTTGCTGGGCACATTATTACTTGTGTACAGTACAAAGAAATGTATATTCCTCTATGTGTTTGCTCTTAGGACAATTATTTCTTTTACCTGTATTGTATATTTATATGTGTGTGTGTGGAGACACATACAAATAAATAATAATGGGAAAATACTCGCAAATAATCAGAAACAAATTTATTAAAAATGTGAGTCTACCCTCAAGTCTGTGCTTTAATAAATAAAGTACGGACTTGGGGGTAGACTCACATTTTTAATAAAAAAAATTGATAATTTGTGAGTATTTTCCCATTATTATTTATTTGTATGTGTTTTGTGTGTGTGTGTCCACACACACATATTTACAATACAGGTAAAGAAATTGTTGTCTTTAGAACAAATGGGTCCCTGTCCCAGCGGCAAAAATGTCGGCAACTTTAAAACTGCCAAGAGACATTCTTGGGTACATCCAGTGTTGTCCACAATTTTTTTTTGTGGGTACAGTACTCGGATTTGTCTCAAGTCTTAGGGAAAACTAAAGCGGTACCAGCGCCAACCCTACAGGCAAGGGACTTCTCCGTATGGGAAGATTATGAAAATGGTGGGCGAAGCGCCCTGCAACTTCTCTGCAATATCCAGACTGTATGGCCCATAGGAGTAAACTGTTTGTTTTTCTGATTTTAAGTCTATATGCTTAAAATAGTTATAATAAAAAAAATCTCAAAAAGCCTGACAGTTAATACCATTGTTGACATCGGCCCATCCTGTGTGAAGCCAAGATTACCGAAATGGGCCGAGATCACCACTGTAACTGGGGCTGAAGTCATCAAGGGCCGACTTCACTTGGTATCCCTCCATCCTTAGTTCAGTTCATCACTCTTATTCCTTTTTCAGACATATCCATACTCAGATATGTGGAACATTTAACTTGTCTTTTCTATTACCATTCAAGCTAACTTTCATTTTTCCTAATATACTTTGTTAATTTATTGATTTATGGGCAGAAAAAAATGCACCCTACTCAGGATTTGACTTAACTTGGACTTCCAGTCCAGGAATGTGGGGACAACAACCCCACCTTCTTGTATTCAGGTAACATTAAGAAAAAAATATATATATGATTAATCACCTTGCATTACAGTAGAAAAAGGTTTGAAAGAAAATTATATATATATATACAGTATATATTTTGTTAGGTGCTCCTGTCACAGTTATGAGGTGAAGCTCATTGTACCACATTTAGTAAATAGTTCTCTTATACTTTTTGATTAGTGTCTGTCGGTCATTCTGATTTTGTTTTTTATACACACAATCACCTGAAAGTCGGGTTTTGAATAAGCTGATATATTATATGATCTTGTTTTGGCTGATATACAGTCAGTTGTGTGTGTAACTGGCACTACTCGCTGGTAATATGGTTGTGTGTGTAAATGACCTCTTAGTGGTTATACCCGTGATTAGTACAAGTGGAATTGATGTTTAGGGTTCAGTTATTAAGGTTTTTGTTAGTTGAGACTATTACTTATGAAAGGTATATCCATCTTCATGTAATAGACACTTTACAAAAAGGTATAATGTTAAGTGAAATAAACTTTCCCATAAACTCCTATATTGTAAACTGAGACAGTCTTGGACAAAATCAATATATATATAACTTAAATAAAGTGGTAACACTTGCTAGAAACAAATAAGAGGTTGCGTGTTGAGGCTTACTAGGAGGGGGAGAGCTAGCAAGTTACTGGGTGATTGGTTAGCCACAGAGTCTCATGCTGTGTTTACTATAGCTTAGACTCTAAGCCTTAGAGGAACAGTGTTGTGAATCTTATAAAAAAAAAATGTTTCCAAACTATGTCATACTGAGTCATGGACTACTATGAGCCTCACCAACCATGTTAAGTGAAGTGAGCAATACAGTACCTCAAGTGGACAATAGAAACAATACTCTAGGACTTTACTGAAGCTGGTTCATTAGGTGTGCCACACTGTTCGCCTTGTACTGTAATGTGTTATTTTGGTGCTTTTATAATATATGCCTTGATTTTTTTCTATGATTTAACTTTTGAAAATGGTTTCTAATGTATATTAAAACTACGATAGCGTGGAAGCTGTCTTCATCTTGCTTCCTATGCCTCATATGTCTGTCTGGTAAACAGCTGTGAGATGGGAAGCTCAGCATAGTCCATTTATTCATCAGTGTAAAATTTTTTTTTATATATTTTGATAGTTGTGTAAATTTCTCCAAGCACTGGAATTTAAGCAAGGTTTATTGCTCTACTAAAATTGATATGTGTACAGATTTAAAAAATAATTAATCTATTTAGGGCCAATGGTGTGATGAGGAGGGAAGGCTGATCATTATATCCAAAATAAATTAACAGATACTTCTTTTGATCTCTCTTCCTGTTTTGTGCCAGAAGTGGGAAGAGATCTTATTGTTTCTGTTCTTTTCAAGTTCTTCAATTTCTTTCTGACCTGTGATGTACATGCAGTATCTTGTTCACATTTTGGAGACAATTTAATGAAACTTTATCGCCAAAAGGCTTTGTGGTCATACATTTATCAGAACTCTGGGTAATGATTGGTCTTTTCCCAGAAATTTGGGGTTAACACTGAAGAACAGTTTGGTTAGGGAGTCTATTGCACCCTCCCAATCTTTAGATGAGAACTGGGTTAACTCTCCTAGGGTTGCAGACTCTCTCTCGCTCTCTTTTTTTCTAACTTTTGATTATGAGGGCCGCCAGTTGTAAGGGTGCATGTTAGAATGGAGGGATTGAACTTATGATCTTATTTTCTTGTGGAGCTCATTGTCAGACAGCTTGGTTATCCTCTCCTCCTCCCTTGGGTTATACATTAGTCAGCTGGTACCAAATTCAAATTAAACCTAGAATCAAAGATGGCAGACAAAAGTGTGTGGTGATTGGGTAGATAGCTCTTTAAGGCCTGCCTCTAGAAAACAACTGTTGCATCACATTTTGGGTATGATGATGTATTGGGGAGGGAAGAGTGATTGTATTATCAAAAGAGGATTGACAGATCAACCCTGATTGACATAATATGGGCAGTGTGTGGGGCTAAAACCTGGCTGTAGGCTCTGCTGGATTGCAGGATTTCAGGGTCAGTCCCTCATTTATTGCCATCAGTTTTGAAAGTTGGGATTTAGAGTATAATGAGTGTGTTGATGGTCATTTGTAGCCAAGGCCACAAAAGTAGAAAAGCATGCAAGTTAACAAGATCCCTCCCCACTTTATCTTTCAGCTGATGGATCTCAAGAAGAGGCAGGAAAAAGGGGAAAGGAGAACACAAGTCCATTATCCAAAAGCTGAACCAGAAAAGATCACCAAATGCTGTTAACGAGATCAACAAATTTGAGCCCTAGTTAGTACTTAATCAAGGCTTCGACTGTACGACGAGATTAATATCTTGGAATTTAAGATATTTTGTGTGTGTGACTAGAGGTGTATTTTTGAAGCTTAGATGATACTTGGAAATGGCTCAAGATAATTAGGCTAAACAGATTCGTAGAGTTGAGACCTGGACATAACTCCAACTTGCGGTCACGTGACTGAATCGGTAACTTTAAGCCTACGGTGTTATGACGACCAGTGTGGCTTTTAGCTAAACCTGATGCGTCAAGTGTGAGTCCTAGACATAAGGTTAATACTTATAAATTCATAAGGTATCATCTTTAATGTAAGCCTAATTCTAGTTCTTTGTATACCTAAATGTGTGACAAGGCTAGTTAAGTGGGCTCTGGACGATGGTGTGTAAGAACGGAAGTCCATGTAACTCGTATCACTGTGTCTCACATGTTGGAGTTTACATGATGATGTTATTGAATGCAAATATGTATTTTAAGATTATGTAGCAAGCAGGAAAAAAAAAAATTATTAGATTTAGGTATATGCAGTGTGCCCAGTATGTATATAGTAAATATATTTTCTCTATATGTGTAGAGCTTTTGACAACTAAGAGCAATCCAGCCTTATTCCAATTAAGAATTTTAAAGCCAGATCAACGGAGGTCAAGTCAGGATTACACTGGGCTCACATTGGAAAGTTGAGTTTCATTTTCATTTATTACATCCCCTTCCTGGAGTATTGAGTTGTTAAGAATGAACACTTTCAGGGTTGATTAGACGATCTTTTTGGGGGAGAGAATATGATGATTATGCAGGAAATTCAAGAGTCAATTAGTCACTTACAATCTTGACTCTCTGTTGAATGAATCTAAAGCTTCTATATTTCAAGAGGCTAAGCACTCGCACATGGCTACGGGACATGATAACATATGGTTTCCTTATTGAAGTAGTTTCTAGGGCAGAAGGCTATGCTTTACAGGAAATGGTTTCTGGTAAAGAGACCGTGTGCTACATAGGGTACAGTCCAACCTCTTCCATTTGTGCTACTAGAGAGGGCCATTTGTACCACTTGAAGCCATTTGCGCCACAGTTGAAGGATATAAATAAAATAGATAACCTCCAGTAATGGTGACTCAGACAAATATAAGATTCAACTACATTTTGAAGTATGTTATCACCGGTAATCATAAACGAGAATAACTTGGTTGTATAAGAAGCAAAGATATGTAAGGTTATGTACACAATGCCTCATTTGCTAGTTATTCATCATAGAATGCCATTGTTTGATCTGTCTACCGATCAAATTTTTTTCTAAGGGGTTTCATACTTATATATCAGGAATCATATCAAGGGTCCAAAGTTGGTACATTACTGCTTTTAGAACCTATTATTACATGTGTGCAAAGGTGTCTATAACTAGTATGCCTGTGGGCCTAATGATCAGGGTCATGTCAATGTTGAAGCTATGAACTTAAACAAAAATTTAGGTCCACTAGGGAGGTAAGTCTTAACACTTGAATTTTTGTTCCTATTTAAGTTCAGAGATTCAGAAATTGGCATGACACATCTCGAGGCTCGCAGACAGATTTTATGTCTGTACACAAACATAAGTTCCAAAAATAAAATTGGGTCAACTTTTTCCATTGGCATGACCAGGTAAATAAGATATTGGCTGATTGTTGATGGGGAAAAAAATTCTTTTAAGTGTAGTTATGTATAAACTACAGAGTTTGGATTGATCTAAATTTCATTACTATGTTTAGATACTTCTTCTCATTTACTGTTGGAGGAGGATGTAAGTGAACAGTAAATTTATTTTAGAAATAAATTAAGAGGAAGGATTTGTAAGCTTTTTCTTGTTAAGACCTGATGTTAAGTTAGATTGTACTGTACTTGAGAATGAAGTTTAGATGAGGTTTCAACTGAACATTTTATAATTCATTAATTTGTTTCTTGGTCCACTTTTATAAAAAAAAATATAGATGACAATGGTTATTTGATTTTCTTTTAAGTATCAAGTAGAAGATAATTTAATTTAAAATTGTGAAAAATTTCAATGGAAAAATTTGATTTTTTTTTTATTCATTAATGTGTCATATATCTCACTATTGTGTAGGCTGAATCAAGAGGTATTATAGAAACTAAAAAAAATTTTTGACCTTTTTAATTTTATTTGGTAACTTTGAAATGCAAAAGTTAGTTAATACACATGAGAGTGTAGCTTCCTGAATACTGTAAATTTATTTTATCCAGCTCTGCAGTGTTTATTGAATTCATATGCAGATGTGGTGGAAGTGAGCTTCACTGCAGAATATCTGTACATCACATTACTTAAATATATATTATCTATTATCTTTACTCTACTCCCTCATTTATGTGGGTTGGGTGATGATGATGATGGATAAAGGGGATACTGGTACTGTACCTTAAAGACAAGAGGGAATTGATAGTAATACAAAACAAGTGTAGAAAGTGATATGAAAGAGACAAGAAAAGAAATACACGCTTCTCACACCCTTAACTCGCATACACGGTATATAAAGTGATATCATAAGCCTCCTTATTCATTCACAATGCTTTATATCAATCTCCTTTTCTGCTACACCTACATTGCATTTCAAATTTTACTATAATGTGATTATACGTTGGCAGTGAAGCTCATTCCTAGAAAGTAGTAAATGAAGGTTTCCACAACAGACAGTGGCTGAGGTTTTTACCGTTGATCTCAGCTCAGAAAAGGACCACATTTATTTTTTTTCAACAAGCAGTGCATCCTTATTTTGATTATTATGAGTCATTTGATTTTTGTCTTTTCTTGGTGATTCTGATATTTGAGTATTTTTTCTTTAGATTGAGGTAAAAGGGGCATTAAAGTATTGATATAGGGTGAATTTCATTGCTCATTTTTATGAATTTTATACTCTTATGTAGGGATGATGACGATCCATTAAGATAGAAATGTCTGTCTGGGTCTGCATAGTATAAATAGTTAAAGACGTTCATTTTGTAGGTGTTTAGTTTATATTTTAAGTAACCATACGCTTATTATGAAAAAATCTGAAATTGATAATGAAGAGCCTCTTAATGGATCTAAACCCCAAAATGAGTCAAATATATCCTACGTTCTGTATCTTGGGCTTAATTCAACTCTACATGAGAAATTACTAGCACTTGACTTGTAAGTACAAAGGTGCATTAAGTAGTGCTAATTATGTAAGAATCACTCAGAATAAAAATCTGAATCACCATAAACTGAGTGTGAAAATCCTTATTTTAATAACCTATTATGTTTTTCACTTGCAAAGTCTTTTGCTGCATCACTACAGGATGGCTAAAATCAAGAACATCATTGACTCATTCATTCATTATATCTAGTCAAAAAGGCCCCCAGGTATATACTGTATCTAGTTTATCCTTGTCACATCACACAACCCAGTACAGTAGTTGGAACCATTTTTGGTTCGGGGGATGTAATATATCCAAGGATTTTTACTCTTATTTCCAAGATGAGGTATTTTAGATATCATCAAAGTGACTATAGTCTCAGCTATACTTAACCACATGTATTTATTGGTGGAAATGTCTGAAGACTGAGTTGCTAACTACTGAAAGATTTGAAGGTAAAAGAGCATGCCTGAGAGCAAAATGTGTTTGTTTCTACCACAAAATATCATTCCTAGAATGAGAAATTCACTTCCCAGGGCATTAAGTGTCACTGCCAGAGACAGAAACATAAACTAAGCTATGTAAAGGACATAACCACTAAAGGATGTTAAAGAGTGACATCTACTGTTCCACAGTATACCTGCTGTAACTGATAACACTCCAGAGAGACTCACTAGTCACTCTCCTGAAATGACCAACACTTGGTATCCACAGGCATTTAAGAAACTACAAAGAGTGGGTAACACAGGTTACAAATGAGATAAACTAGATTTTATTTGACTATGTACATACATCAAGGAAGGACAGAGGCTAAAAGTGGAGCCATCATAACCATGCACACAAGACAGGGTAATGCTGCAGGATGAAAGATGTACTTGAGGCTACCCAATAAGCCAGGTGAATTTTCTCCTATTTGAACTTTACAAAATCAATTTCAGACAGAGCTACACATCCCTTCCAGAACAGAACAAAAATCATGACCATCTAAGGCTGGGCTGTCACTCATGTAACTAGCCTGCAGACTATTTGGCTGATCTAGCAGCACAATAAGGCATAAGCTGCTACTCACCTAGCTAACACCCAAAGTACTCTATATCACAATACATGGAATAAAACTATACCGAGTATCATTTTAAGCATACGAATAAACATACACTTGAAGGAGCAATACTTTTACGAAAAAAATATCAATACCTGTACTGATACATTATACAGTACAGTATACTGTATAATGTGATAATACAACAGCAAAAAAAAGATGCATTGAGGTCAATTGGTTATTACTGTACTGTACAAATATCAGGAAATGTAATGAATTATCAGAGAATTCTGAACATCTTAAGAAATTCATGTTATGGGTTTGGAAGTATGAAATGCATAAAGGTTGCATGGCCATGCACAGGCCAACCGGCCTATTGCAGACTCCTTATTTTCTTATGGTCTTATGTTCATGCCACTGTACAAGTTGTGGACTCACCAACAACGTGTCAACTCTGATGAATATATTATTTAATTGTAACGCACGCACAGTGATATCCCCGTTAGCCGGAACAATTGGTGCAGAGCACTTCTGGAATGAGACATTTCTGTGTAACAAGACAATTCTCTCAAGCTGGAAAAAGTCCCTCATCCCGGAATTTTCTGGGTAACGGAAAATTTTCTCGGAAGTTCCAGAAATTGCCCTCTTAAAGTATTTAAATATTATATCTGGCCCGCCATAGCAAATGAGTTTGACACCCCTGATCTAATGCTTGGGTTGTGATAGAATAGTCAAAATCTGTCTAGATCAAATTGCTGAATTACTAATCACATAGTTCTGCCATGAGCTTCCTAAGAAAGTTACTGTACCCACTTTATGGAAGTGACTAATGAGGAAACTTTCCCTTCTGTCACAGTGTGTCATCCTTGACAGGAAAACCAAGGATCTGAGGCTATAATCACACCATGAGATGGGGCGTTATTCAGTGGAAGCCTTGTATCACTGTTTTCCCCTGTAACCCCTGCTGTCTTGCCCAACCAGAACAAGAAGTCACCATGTTATGTACTAAGAACAATGTGAATATAGAGTAAAAACTATCAACATCTCTTAGTACCTTTTCAGTGAAAGCACCAGGTGATGATCTTAAGTGTGGATTCCAGAAGTATGTACAGAGGAAGGCACATCTCAGAGTAAAGAAAATGGTGCCAAGGTCTCAAAACATTACTAAGAGGTATGATAACCCCCCCATGCCATAACCAAAGCTTAATACGATGTGGAAAAAATTATCCCCATTGTCACAGACTATGTCAAGAATCAGGAAGTACACTCAACAGGATGCAATTCCTATGGTGTCATGAAATCAAATGACCCTAGGTTGCCAACTACCACACTCTACTGTAGTTGAACATTGGAAGAATGTGAGACAGTGACAAAATTCTCAAGTCTGTATGAAAAGGACTCCAAAATCTCTAATCATCTAAACCAGAAAGAAGTTGGAATGTGGAATCCATGAATTACCCAAGTGAAATTGGAAATAATGACAATGTCACGGTCCGGAAATTGCACTAAGCAAAAAGGGTCAGGCACAATGGAGCTTCTAATTACCAATCAGAAGATTATTCATAAGTGTAACACTATTAATTGTCTTCTTTTTTTTCTTCAAATGCTATTGCTTTGTTCTCACCAGCATTTACCTTCAACTTTCTTCTACAAACTAGATTGAGGCATTCTACCATTTCCTTTATCTCTACCTCAGACATGGTACAGTAATACTACAGCAGCGACAACATAAAAGGGTTAATATTGACGACTGACCTGCGGACAAGTTATTTGTTTTACTGTTTACTTTCTTACTTTAATTTCAACATTGAGTTCTGATATGATAATCATTTCTTGTACAAATGCTTTATTTGGTAGATAATTAGGCACCTAGGAGCGCTACTTTGTCTTCTTGGCGGTAATGTGGCAGTGATGTCTCATCCCAGGATGTAAACAGCCAATCATAGATGTATTTCAAAACACTGCTGCATGGTCTTGATCAACGCTGATACTCAGTGAATGCTTAAGAACCGTTTGGTATGGATAGCTGATCTCACGTCCACAAAAAATGTAAATTTACGCCATGTCATCGTAAGTTCTTTCTGTTAGGTCAGTTTGTTTGGTTAGGTTGGTGAGGTCTTGTAACAACACTTCTGCTGCTTCTTTTTCATATCAACTAAGATTGGGATACATTTAATTTAGTAATAATTTTTTAACACATTTGCACAAACTACGACAGTGTCCATTATAAAACAGTGAAATTGCGGCATTTTTATAATTGTTTTCTATGAAAAATCGGCTGCAGGTCAGTCATCAATAATTACCCATAAAAGAAATGTAATAGCTTTCACTCTGGATTATCAAGGCCAGAACTTGTCACAGGACCTCTTATTTATCTAATACTGTACTGTGCATACTTTCTCTTAAGTCTATAAATACAGCATATACTTTCTACTCTTATAAGCTCCTCTCCTTCACTTGTCTTTGTCCAAATATTTAATCAGTACTGTACACCCTCTATCTGTCTTTAAACCTCTCTCTTCCTTACCTACAAGTACTGTCATTATCTGCTGCTTTTTACATGAGCAGTCAATAACCTCTATTTACCATACTGAGGATAAATTCACCTAAATTTCTTAAAACCATTCTTACTTTCCTTGCTATTATACAAAACGAAAATACCAGTGTCCCTTCAATACTCTGTTACTCTTCTGTTTTTCCTGGCAACCATAAGTATTTTCCTCGTCCATTCAATTTTCCATGACAGATGAAGGGTATCCACTGGACTAACTCACTGAGGTATGAGAATGCAGACACTACGCTGAATATCATAACCAATAAAGTGAACCATTTGATCGATAAATATTTAACCAAGACCAAACCCAGTGCTTGCAGGAATACAAGGAAACCGCTATACATGAACCATGCGGCAGTTGACAAAGTTAAGAAGAAAACTCAGAAATTCGAGATGTGGATTAGGACAAATGAGAGCAGGACAGGAGGATGTATGCCAGATCCAGGAACCAAGCAAAGTCAGAGTGTAGAAGGGCTGAAAAAGAGTTCCAAAGGCAGATTGCAAGCAAGGTCAAGTTAAACCCAAAGGTGTTTTGCCACTACGCTAAGTCAAAATTAAGAGCGCGAGTAGGTATATCGGACCTAAGGCTTGAAGATGGTAGTTATGCAGACTCTGGCCAAGACAAGGCAGAGGCGTTGAACAGTTTCTTTTCCTCGGTGTTCAGAAGAAAGGATGTGAACAATCTTCCTGTGTTTAAGGACAGATGGTTTGGCACAGCGCTGACATGGTGCATCCCAGAATGCTAAGAGAGTTGTGCAACGAACTTGTTGAGCCCCTAAAGATCCTGTTCTATAGATGCCTGGATGAGCAAAAGATCCCGTCATTGGAAAATGGCTTATGTGAGTCCCATATTCAAGAAGAGCGATCTTCACTCCACGAATAATTAATTATAGACCAGTGAGACTGACCAGCATAGTATGTAACGATGGAATATCTACAACGAAACAACCTTGTAAAGGATTGCCAGCATGGTTTTATGCTGGGACGTTCCTTTTAACACAATTACTCAAGGTACTGGATGTTTGGACCCAAATTCTGGAACAGGGTGACATTATCAATAATCTATACTGTACCTAAATTTTGCCAAGGTTTTTGACAGCGTAACCTATGAAAGACTGAGAATTAAACTGGAAGGGTATGGGATTCGGGGAAGTGTCCTTGCATGGATCGGAGATTTTCTGTATGATCGCAAGCAGTGTGTGGTGATTAATGGTACGAAATCATTATGTGTACCCTTGACAAGCGGGGTACCACAGGGCAGTGTATTGGGCCGTTGTTGTTTGTTTGTTTCATAAATGACATGCCAGAAGCTATACAGTACACTCCTTCATACAAATGTTTGCAGGTGATGCCAAGTTATTTTGGGAAATTAAGAACCAAACATCCTTAAGAGGATGAACCAGGGTTGTACCAACAGTAAGGAGGAGTATCATATGTCCCAATGGGATGAATAAACTGCATTAATAGAGACTGAATGCGAAAAGGACCTGGGTG